AAGACTAGTAGGTTACGTTAATTCTAGTGCGTGGTATCACTTGTTTTAAAATTAATGATAACTATGATACAAATGTTTTTTAAAGGGGAGCTAAAAGTACAGGGTTGAAAAGGGACTGGAAGAGATCAAAGCTGGGACAGAATCACTATGGCCTAGAACAGGAGCGTCTGGCGTTCCCCTTACCTGCCTCCCGACTTTATGCTTCTTTCGATCCTGTTAAACACCAGTTCTGCTGGCCACTGCTAGGCTTCCTGATTGCCACTGATGCTGTCTATTTTGCACCCATCTCTGCTCCTTCCTAACTTTCCTCTACTCAGCTTAGATTGCTCAAGTGACAATGACCCGAAAAATGATTGCTTTTATTTTCTGAAGCGACTTAACTGCCTACACTGCTATTTCACTGATTCTGGATCTGTATGCGTCTCCCTTCCTGATGTACTGGTGCAGGTTCCGGTCTGAATCCTCACCTCAGTCCTAAGTAAACATAGTAATTGTCGTAAATATAGTAACTGTCTCTATTTCTTCTTAAAGAGGAAAAAGTTTGGACCATCTTTACAGTTGAGGAGTTCTTAGCACTGTGCTATGTGCCAGGTAAGACAGAAAAGAATCAGCACAGTGCTGTCAGAGCTTGGCTTGTTGGAGCAAGACACACAAAAGGAAAATAAGAGTACACGATAAAGCACTAAACATGAATGTGTCTGAGACTCAGAACCCTTCAAAAGTGGGACAGCATTGGGTCTCCACCAAAGCAGCAGACGTGAGGAGATATGCCAAAGAGCAAGGCATCCGTCCATCCGTCTGTCCATCCATTCATCCACAGCACTTCCCTGATGCTGCTAGACGTCCTGCTTCTCCCTTGCCCACCCCTCCTAGTCGGATCTGTCCTGTGTTTGGACGCACTCAACCACACATCACTTTATCTACTGAGATGTAAATCCTTAATGGGAAAAGGTGTTTCAAGTGTAGTAGGAGTGCTTGCTTCGGCAGCACATATACTCAACGGTAGTAGGAGTAACTTGAAGGTGTGGGATCTTTTGAGCCTTGGTTACTCATGAAGCCAAGGGAAGAGGACAAGGCTTGTGAGGTTAACATCTTAACGACCGCAGGGACACAACTACTTTGGAGAAAATGTCATTTACTGTACACCTCTCAACTTCCACTCAGAGCAATTCCTTGGGAGTCATCCCAAACTGGTCCACTTTCTGTTCCATTTCAACATTTCAAATCTACTCCAGCAAGAAGAAAAATCTCCAAATTGTTTTACTGAGTGAGCGAGAATTGGATGGTTAACATTAAGAATTAGAAGTCTGAGCCGGGCATGGTGGCGCACGCCTGTAATCCCAGCACTCGGGAGGCTGAGGCGGGAGGATCGCTGTGAGTTCGAGACCAGCCTGGGCTGCATAGTGAGTTCCAGGTCAGTCTCAACTACATAGTGAGACCCTGTCTCAAAAAAATAAAAAAAAAAAAAAAGTCTGGGGCCGGGGATTTAGCTCAGGGATTCTGCCGCCTGTCTCCCAAGCACAAGGTCCTGATTTTTATCCAAAACAAAACAAACAAAACCAAAACCAAAAAGAATTATAAGTCTGGGTGAAAAATCTGGCTTCCCTTCAGGGGGACCCTGAGGGCTTTACTGGGCCTGAGCCAGGGCCTTACAAAACAGGGCCACAGTGAAGCCAAGGTTTGCGGCCAGGACTCAGGCCTTGGATCTGTCCTTCATGCCTCCCCCCAGAGAAGACTGAAGTTCTATTGTCTAACTAGATCTACCTTTTCACGAAGCAGAAAAATGTGGAGAAAGAGATGCAGAGTGAAGTGGGAATGTGAAAACAAAATCTGCTGCACCTTGGGTTCAGTTGTGGAGCTGCAGAGTTGTGCAGCAGCAGAGGGCCGCACCTCCCCACCAGTGCCAAGGTCTGCAGTCAGACCTGCTCTGTCCCACTTCCGGAGACCACTTCCGGCTAGCCGAGGGTTCTGTGAGGCTGAGTCAGTATCGCTAACGTTAGCCTATAATGAAATGCATATGGAAGGGGAAAAAAGCAGAATTTTTTGAAAAAGCACTTTACCAAATCTGAAGGCAACATGACTGTACAGTTAAATCTATTCGAGCCTAGACTCAAATAAAGAAATACCTTGGGATGCAGTCACTGGCCATTTTAGATAAAGTATTTTTTGATAATAGCTTGTATTAAATGGAGGATAATATTTTTGGTGAAGGAAATACAAATCTAAATTCTACTCTTTATCCACACCATTAGTAGAATTAAATTCATTTCAGGGCAAACTCAATAATTTTAACCATTAGAAGAAACTTTAATGTCCTATGATAGATTTCACAATAACAGAAAATTTTTAAAAGACTGAATACAAACTATCTTGACATTAATCAAACTTTTAATGTATCAATTTATTGCATGTCAGTACAGAAAATACAAAGTTTTAAAAGAAATTTATAGTAAAAAAACAAAGGTAAATGTTTGCTTGCCATGGATAGCACACAGTGTACGATGACATTCAAATCTGAGTTATAAAATGTTATTATGATCTCAAATCAAATATGACAAGTAACACAATTTACATTACGAAGTTCAATCAATTACTTTATCCTGAATGTACTTGAGTATGTTGAAAACAACTTGAATTTTCAGTATATGCTGTACTGACAGAAATCCTACTAGAAACTGTTCCACACACACCCATTAAGTATGGATATACGACACCTTTTGTAAAAATGTGTCGCTTATACAGTCCTATTTTTAAACTACATTTTAAGATACAAAATATAAATGGAGGTATATTTGTGCCACTTGGCAAAAATGTATCCACTAGAATTAGGACGACTTTATTGTGCCATACAGGTGAGCAGATGTGTTATTCCTGATAGCTAAGGTGATGTGTGCATACGGTAGGAAGAAGACACAGAAGTACTTTCCATTTCCTACTCTGTCCATTTAAAAAATAAATGTTTGTGCTCTCATTTCCAACTTTACCTGAGTAATGTGAAAATACACACGTGACTAATCCAAAAGGGTTATTTACAACGAATTTTTCCTTTCACAGTTGTTATTCCACAATTATCAAACACAACAGGAAGAAAGAGGAAGATGAATGGAGGATTTCAGCGTCTTTCGCATGAGGCAAAAGGAAAAAGTGCGTCTGCAGCGCCCTTCTGCAGCTCCCGTGCTCACTGCCACCCTCGGCGGGCGAAGGAGTCCCCACGCACACACTGCCCCGCTGCCGAGGCTCGCAGGGTCAGTTACACGAAACCCGTCAGAGATGGCCTTTGTTCTTATCCCACCAGACAGACTCTGACCCAGGCCGAATCTTACCAGAGAAGTGGGTAAGTATCAGACGGTCGGAGTGCTCAAAAGCGAGGACTGCGCTCTCCTGACTCCAGGGACGCACCACCAAAGCTGAGTTGTGGAACTGTAGCTCATCACACACTGAAGCTTCTCTGGGACAAAACCGGAACAGTTCTTACTGAAGTGAACTGCAGGCCGTGGGGCAGGTGCGGCGGCAGCGCCGGAGCTTCCCTTGTTAGAAAGGCTTTGCATTCATAGTTGCTCTGCAGTCATCCTTCACCAGTTTCGTGGTCATCCGTCTAAGACTATGTCACATTTCTTGTCTAGTTGTTTCTATGCTATTAGTATTGTTTTAGTGTTCACAAATTATTTTCGCCCTAGGTAGCATTTTCAGCTCCTTTAGTAAAAATCAGTCTTCCCCACCTCCCATAATTGATTTCAAAATAATGGATTTTTTTTTTCTCAATGAGTTTACCTCATCATATTTAAGATTTTAGTATTTCCAAATTTACAGTAGCTTAGTAACTGACAATTCACTTAGGAACCTCTCTAGCTGCTCCTGTATAAATGGGCTGCAAATCAGCAAGCCAGACGATACACTTCCCTTCCCGCTAGATGGCTAGACCAGGGGCGTGACTCATACAGAAGTCGGGCTGCACCAAGACCAAAGGTCCTGGCCACAAGTTAGAGATATTTCCAAGCATTATGCCATGGGCTTCGAGGCCTCCGGAAGGAGGAACTTGTTTTCCACCTGTTCCTGTCTCAGGAAAGTCTCAAACACAGAAGACAGTAGAGGCAGACACCCTGTAGCCCTGAATAGAGCCTGGGTCCTTCACTCCAGAAAGGAAGGCTCATTACGACGAGAACGAAGGTAGAGGGTGGAAAACACAGTGCTCTACAACTTCTGAAGTTCTGGCTTAAGAGAAAAGGGGGAAAGGATGATAAACCTCAAGTAAAAAAGAAAAAAAAAAGCAGCATAAAGTGACACTGGTGATGAGTAAGGTTTTACACTTCATCAGGACGTTTACGACTGAAGTCGATAAATCCTTCCACGGTGCTAGAGACTAAATGATTCAGGAGAACATAACAGGACTCGTAAACTTCCAAAACTCAACAAGTATAACGTGTGCCATGAAAGCTCATGTCTAAATATACATCTTGCTGTATCAGTTTTTCTTTTTACACATTACTATTTACCAGTCATTCTAGATAGCAATGTTGACAAGATTAAAAAGTAGCCTTTAATGGTGAATTTATACGTACAAAATACACCTTCCATGATATGCATTACCAACTTTTTAAAAAGACTTTTTACAATTAATAATTTATAGAAAACCATCATTCTTTAGAAATCATTCTTGCTATAATTAATTTTTTTCTAAATACTGGCATAAAGTGAATAATAAAGATGCTATTTGGCAAAAGTATTTCTAGCCCTATCTCCACAAGGTTTTAAATTAAGGTCAAGATTATTGACTCTTTTTCTGCTCTAGCTGCTTGCCGAAAGCCAACCAAGTACAGCTAAAATCTTACAATATCATGTTAGCTCTGACATCCTCAGGCAGAGCTCAGTGACACCTAGGTTTTGAAGTCTGCTTGATACAATTTGGCACAATTCTACCTTGTAGCTCATATTTTATTAAGGTAAATCTGGCAAGGTTTAAAGAACTGCTCTTTGTAAGGTTTTTCTCACTTTTCTGTGTGTCTAAATACTACTTCCCACCTATAGCCATTTAATTGTTAAATGTGGTCGTAGGTTGTGTCAAAAATCTCTAGACTTCCTTCATTCTCACATGTAAAAAATTAAAAAATAAAAATGTAAGACTTTCTAAAGCTGTCTTTTGATGAAATTCTATTTCAAAGCAAATGGAACATTAAGCTAAGAACACTGCTTGCTTCTGATTTATAACTTTTACTTATCTTTAAAAAGTCCAATAAGTATTATCTTGGCCTTTGGTGGACTAGGTATACCCTAGGTACTAGGACTTAAATGTAAGAATTACCAAGATAGTATGTACAATCGTGTAACAAGTCTTCCTAACTTAAGTCTTAAGCAAATTCGGATTTTCACTATGACCACTATTAGCAGTTCACCTGTAGACTTACAAAACTCACAGCAGCTAAAATTCTCTTTGCCAGCAAAATTACAAATGTTAAAAAGTCCAAATGTGCACAGAAAGCTGCAATAAATTCTAAGTTTCAGTTTGTACCTGCCATGATCCAGGCTATCTCACAAAAAACATGGTACATTTATATTGGAAAATAGGGTCCCATTTATTTGTAAGAAAAAGCTGTATCTCAGCATTCACCAGAACAAAATTCAAAGACAACCTGCACACGGGCCTCATTTCACTTCCTGCCAAAACCAAAATAGAGTTTACATAAAAATAGATATAACCCAGGTACCCATATACATTGGTCTATGACCAGTGCTATTTACAGTAAAAATGTTGCATTGCATAAGTCAAGGAATAAAATACGATCATGCATTTCATTTAACTTGTAAGGTGAAAAATACAGTTGCAGAACTAAGTTTGCTTACCATGATTGTCCCGATATTTACTAAAGGAATTACGAATTTACCAAAGGTTTCTTGTTTACACATCGCCTTCAACATCCAGCTATTAACCTAAGTGTAACAGATTATGCCATTTAAGCAACAAGAAACTTTTGAATAATCTATTACACTGACATATTAAACTAAAATTATGGCTACATACCCACATTCAAAGTTTTGATGAAAATGTATGAAATAACCCCAAGAATGACAGTTCCTCAAATGTAAAAAATGATATGGATCATTATAAAGGAGCACGGAGGTCCCTTCTAAGTTTAATGTCACTTTCAGACAAGACATAACACACTTCTAGGAAGGAACCTTCTTTATCCTTCTGCACAAATTAAAATACAGTGCGTTAGTCAAAGAGCTGTCATATAATCGTGACACTGGAGGACGCTTTCGTCATTTCTTCAGGACAGTGGCTCTTGATGACTTCTCTGATGAACTGTTCAAGCGCAGTGAAGTAGCCTTGGCACTGCCACGTGTCGTTATGCGTTCCGTCTGGGAAAATGGCCAGTCTCTTAGTCCGAGACGGGGAAAGCTCAGACAGCTGCTTCATCATCACGGGGGGAATTAACTGGTCAGAGAGTCCGGAGATGAAGAGGGAAGGCATCCTGCACTGAGAAATTTTTCTGTAGGACAAAAATTTATTTTTGTAGCACCATAAAGGAAGGTAACGCATTGGAAAGAAGGAAAATAAAGTGCTGGCCATATGCGGTATGCTTAAAAATGTGTTCTCCACCATAATGGCTGAAATCCTATGTGAATTTTCAGAAGCCAGATGAATAGCCACCGCTCCTCCCAAGGAACGGCCAAAAAGAAAAATTTTCGTTTTATCGATGTCAGGCCTGGTCATCACATAGTCTAGTACGGCTTCTGAATCTAAGTAGAGTCCTTCTTCACTCGCTTCTCCTTCACTTTTTCCGTACCCTCGATAATCAACCAGCAGCAGATTCACTTTGAGGTTGACCAACATAAGCAATGCATTTGGTAACCTGTGACCTATGTTGCCCGCATTCCCGTGAAAATAAATTACAGTTGGGGAATAGGGTGAATTGTCTCCAGTGTATCTTATCAAAATAAGATTCAGACGCACTCCGTCTTTGGTTCTAATGAAAATGTTTTCGTGTGGAATACCAGTGGGCATGGGAACATAGAGGCGCGAAGACGACGGCTGTTCTGGGAAATAAAGCAATACATCCTGGAATTTATAGAGAATGCCTGCTATTGATATGAATATTAACAAAAGTAAGATAATGCCTCCATACAGATGAAAAGTCACTATTAATGGTAGGAGAGAAATACGACAGAGAGCCCAAGACCACGAAGCCAAGGCTATTAGCCATCTCTCAACGAAGTTCCACAGCATCCAGGACTTTTCCATGATAGCTCTCCGTAAGTGTCCTGGAGAAAGACAGAGAAGACCAATGATTACACGCTAATACTTCCAAAGTAAGATACACGATGTAATAAACTCAGGATTCTTGGAAGACTACATCACTCTGCCCATGACAATGCTGCTTAATTCCTTTACTCTTCAGTTAACAGTCCTCAGACTACTGTATCTACTGTTCCAATGCTACGTTTAGGAAATATAAAGCTATCCTAAATCCACTCACTTTTCTTACTGTGTTTATTTTCTGCCAAGTGCTTACACTCAGGCACCCCACTGATCTGGTCAGAAACTAAGCTGACACCACTCCCAGTTTCACTATGCAGAGAAGGAGACTCGAGAGCCCACAAGGGTTGGCCTCCTCCCAGGGAGAAGAGTCAGGAGGCAAAGAGAGGTGACTCCAAAGCTCAGGGTACATCTACTGCTGAGCCAGGGAAAGGTGGCAAGGGGTTCTATTCTAGCAAGACCAATTCATGAGAACTTACTGCTAATTTCAATTTCCACATTGTAGAAAAAACTGCGACTAAACAAAGGTAAAAAATAAAAATACTTCCCTGGCAGCTGAAGTTTTTTTCATAACCTTAAATAATATTTCACAGGTGGATTCCAAAACTACATTACACTTAAGTAAAAGGTTTAACAAAGTGAGCTGCTTTTCACGTCCAACTTAAAGTGAATGTGGTGAGATGGCTAGTAGTCCTGAGCTACTGGGTATCTTCACGTAGTCCCCGCGGGGGTCAGCACGGATCCCTGACGTGATGACAGGCGAGACCTGGGCTGAGGGACACAGACTGCCACGATGGGATGAGAGGGTACTTAGGGTAAGTGTGACAGACACTGTGACCCGATAATAAGACACCGGAGCCAAGTGTGATGCAAACACACAGAAATTCCAAGGACAGAGAATGCACAGAGCCTTGAGATACATGAAGCAAAAATGCTCGTTACAATGTATAAATGACTTAAAGAAAGTAAGAAGTTACCAAAGATACCTCCCAGTTTCAGTCGTCTTACAATGTCAACTTGAAACAGCCTGAGTTTCCTTATGCACTGCTCATCCACACATGCTTCTTTACAAGACCCTCCATACCAACTTCCCTTTACACATTAACAAAGTGACCATAAGGAAGTTATTCACACTGTAATAGATATCAAATTGTTAATGACTGATTTTAAACATTATACTGATGCTATAAGCAGATAAATACGGTATTTTAGTAGCTACAAAAGAAACAGAGTGTTAAGGAAATTAGATGATTTAATAAATTTGGCTTTTTGCTATTAATTCACAAAACCTAGACTTTAATAATTTGAATTCTTATTTAAATGACTTCTACGCAGAAACCAACACCAAGGCACCTGCTCTGGCCCCCAAGAAATCAACACTGCCACCCAGCGACAGCAATGGCTACTGCAGACGAGCAAGCATAGAGTTTAAAGTACAGGCCCAGGCCCCAAAAGAAAATTAAACCTGGCAAAAATACATTAAAGGCACTACATTACAGGAGCCAAGTAATAGCCCTACTGTGCTGAATTACTTTAGAATCCACTACTGTCACCTGGCAACAGCTCAGTGCTTATCTGCCTCCGTGGCAGAGGAGTCGCAAGGCATCTGGGCACCTAGAGGTCCCCTCCGACATTTGTCGTTGCTGATGTTTAAAGAGAAAATAGTGAATGATTCCGGCTGTGCCTAGAAGCTGTGTTAGGGAAATATGAGAAGTGGCACGAACTTCATATACCAAAATAAAAATCAATTTTGGTGCAATGACTAGGATTAAAAGGTTTGGGATCGTTCATGTGCGCGCACCTGTGTGTGTGTGTGTGTGTGTGTGTGTGTGTGTGTGTGCGCATGCACGCTCACATGCAGTATCAGCACTGCAACACCTGGTCAGATAACATTTTAAGACATTTCTGTACCAGGAGTGTCAAGGTCATGTTTTTCTCATAGCTAAGCCAGAAATACTAAAAACAAGTAACTCAAACGTCATTTATTTGGCGATACAGCAGCAAAGGAACAGCAACGTCTCTGCTGAGTAACTCAGACTCACCGCCACCTCCAGAACTGAGGACTGTTCTTCCAGTACGGCAAGAAGTGCCTGACCTGGGTCATCAGAGGCAAAGCTCTTATTCAAACACTACTGCAACTAGAACCATAAAGCTCAAAATGCACGACGAGACACACTTCAAAATTCAAAGTTTATATTTATGCCTGTAATTATTAAATCTACTAGTTAAAATTTTCAGCTATTAAATTTGAAAATTATTTCTTTTACCAGCCTACGTACGTCATTTCCAACTGCGTCCTACCGTACAACACTGAAATTAAATTTATGAGGCCAGGAGTCGGTTACTCTCTACCCAGTAACCCCAAAGGCTACAGGTGCTTCCGATACACACGGGCCAGGTGACAGATCTGAGAGAATACTCAGCAGTGGGCATATACGTTTTGGATGTCACGCCAGAAAAGCAGAAAAGCCGGCGTGTTTGTGTGGGTCTAATACTGGCTAGGACTAGGCAATAAAACTAGTGTTCCAGGCAACAGCCCTGCATGTGCACCTTAAAGCACAGTCGCACGGCAGCTGTTCTCCAGGGAGGTGGGAGCCACAGGTGCTCAGGCGGAGCACTGGGTTAGGGAAGCTGCCGGGTGCTGTGGGCCTCTCCTAGGGCTCTCCTAGGAGGGTGGGATGCGAGGTCCACTAAGACACTGAACCTTCGCTGGGCACCTGCTGGCGATTTCTGCCACTGCAGTGAATCACACCTGCACTTCAAAGGCACTCTGAGAAGAACTGACACAGCACACTTAGTGTGCGAACTGCACAGCACAATTCCCGAGCCATCTGTCGAGACCCAGATGTTCAACGACAATAAACACACTCTAAAAACGGCACTGCAGAGCTCCTCCAGTCAGCACGCTGGAGTTTCCTAGCATAGTAATTTGCAACAAACTAGACCAGAGGGTTAATAAACCCGTCCTTTCCCTATTGGGAATGACCTCCGCTAACCTTCCAGCACTGTTTCCCTGGAAACCTGATGTAGGTGAGACAGCAGCTGTGCCTCTAAGCAATGCTGTTTACACAGAAAAGAAAGACACCTCTTGGTGAGCCACCTCTGGAAGGCCAGGGGACGCTCACAAGTGGGTTTTGCCGAACGGGAAGTGGCTCACAATCAGTCTTTCCTTTGCCGAATCCTGGATGCGGTGCCCATGTGCCGAGAAGCCCGACCCAGCCCTCGTGTGCCACCTCTGCACTGTGCTGTCTGACACCTGCAAAAAACAGGCTTGCAGCTGACATGCTGTGGAGCAGAGGGGGCGCCCGGAGGGCTCTGGGGCTCCCGGGCGCATGACGTGCAGGTGCAGTCATGCAGGAGGAGGGCGCAAGTCCTATGTGGCAAAGCAGGGACACAGTGTGTCACGGGACAGGGGGGATCAGTGCTGCTCGCTGACACGCATTTACAGCGTCACAAATGAGAGAAAGGCATGTCTAAAACCCCGTGCACAACGCAGTCAAAGCTCTAGGACTTACCCCATGAAGAACGCAGACACGTGTCAACCAAGAGCCTGTCCCCTTCCATTCTCCTTGCACGTCATTACTAAATATGTAATTTTAACTCACCTACATTTTAAATGAATCCTGACTTATCTCTATTTCTCAATTTTGCCTGTGCCGTGATATCAGACTCAATCTCATGTGTCAAATTTACTTTATTTTGTTGGGATTTTTAGACAGTTATGTAGCTCAGGCTGACCTTGAGCTTGTGGCGATCCTCCTGCCTCAGCCTCCTGGTGCTGGGAATGTGGGTGTACAGCACACTCCTGGCTTGTGTCCAATCTAAAACCCATCCATCTGGGGCTCATCTCCTCGTTAACAGCTGACCCACTTCGTGAGGCTGTGACGAGTGAGCTCTTGAAAAGTGCACTTCAGCTGCTGCTGAACCACACGCAGCCTCCCCCACACCGTGACTCCACCCCTGTAGCCCCCCAAGGCCCAACATTCTGCACCTCTGTTTCTCTCCTGCCTTGCTCCGCAGGCACTTCCCAAGGCCACGTCCACTGCCTTTTAGGTTAGGGTTATAGCTGGATCAGACTCGCTCCCCACAGGCCTCTGTCTGAAAGGTTTGGTCTCCAGTCTGAGAAGGCTGGGTCACTGCAGGACACGGGGACAGTGGCCCGGACATCTCCTCTCTGCTTCCCAGCCACAGGAAGGAGCAGTGTCCTCGGCCAGGTCCTCAGTGCCATCGGGTACCGTCTTGACACAGGTCCAGGCTGTGAGCCGAGACTCTGGAGGAAACCTCTCCACTGTGAGCCAAAAGCAGTCCTGGCCGTTCACCTGCTCCAGCACTGGAGAGGTGGCGCCCACTACTCCACTCTCTCCCGGAACTGCTGCCCATCTCCCACTCCTCCTCTGCACCCCCTCGGCTCACCTGTCTCAGTGCCCCCTGCTTCCTGGGCATCTCAAACTCATCTCCTGCCCCCCGACACCTTGTATGCACTGTGCTGATCGTGAAGAAAAAGCACAGCTCATAAGCAAATACATTTTTAAAAAGCATGGGTTTGATTTGGAGGCTCAATATATAATATGTAGATTAAAATTTTATTACAGCACCAAAAGTCACTGTGTATTACAGTATTAAAATACTACATATTGGTCTTAAATTTGAAACAAAATTGTGTACAGAAATTTTTTTTGTGCCTTCTCCATGAAGCGGTTTGATTTATGCTGCTGTTGGGAAGCAGCTCTCAGGAAATAATCTACGGGAAAGAATCAAGATGTGTTCAAACCTACCTGCACCTACTCGTTAAGATGAATGTGAACTTCATGTTTTGCAAACCTGTGCTAATAAGTTCTTTTAAATCTAAAAGAACTACCCTACTGAAAGCATGACTAGTCTTTAGAAAATAGACAACTTGGATACCATGACTGTTCTCTTTTTAAAAGAATGGTTCCGAAGTATCAACATCAGGTCTCAGCAATACCCTGATGTAGTGTGAGAAACTCAGACCCTGACGCCCTCGACGTGAGTCACGGTGCCCGATGCGGCACAGTTGCCTCCAGCCTTCTGCTCACTCCTGGCCATTGAAGTCCATGGTGGGTGTGCGGTGACCAGTACAAAGTGTCCGGGAGAACGACATGTAACTGCAAGCATGGCAGCCGGCGGTGCTGGCTCAACAAGTCACTCCTGACCCCCACGAAGCAGCTCACCTGTGCCCTCCATGTGGTCTCTCAGATCACATGTGGTTCCAGTTTCAGAAAAAGTACATATTGTATAGATTGATACTTAAAAAAAGAACTCCACACTGAAGTTATAGCTACCCTTAAAGCTGAGCCCTGAGTCCGCCTGGGGGCGCCATGGGAGACAACGGGCCCAGTCTGCATCGCTGCAGTGACTCAGCGTGGTTTCCCAGCCTCTTCCCAACTGGCAGTCAGCTCATTCCAGCACATCCTACTGTTTACTTAAAGGCTAAAGACAATGCTGCGAATCATATGTGCAGACACCAGTGATGAGAACCTCACTGCAGGAACAACAGACGAACTACAAAAGGGAAATACGGGGACCCCAGGCCTTGTTCTCCCGAGGCTCACAAGCCACTCCATACTCGGCATGTGCAATACAAACTCACTCAGCTGCAGAGGAGACTGAGCCAGAGAAAGGGCACAACTGTCCTTAAGTACAGCACAGGAAAATAAAAGCCTTACGCATTTGTCTTTCACAACATGCTTAATCATCAGCCTGGATTTCATCAGGCTTGACCACTTACAGAAACCAAGTGAAAACAAGCAAACTTTAAAAAGGCAGGACAAAGGATAACGTCAGGGTTAAGAATCTCTTACTTTCTACCAGCCAGCTGTCTATGTCACTTATTTTTAGTCACTTAGCACAACTATTCACAGGAACTGGAAGTATTCTGCATAATCTAAATACATGCTTGACAAGGATGGTGCAGAT